ATTTATTAAATTATTTATTATATTATGTAATACTTAAAAGTTATAAAAAAATTGACAAATTTGTAAATAATTTTTTAAACTAAAATTATTGTTACTATTAAATAAATAGTATTAAACTTCATTTACAGTTTTCCTACTGGATTGCACCGTTTGCGAATAAACAAGCGGAACTTATGATAGCCCCGCACAAGTTGCCTGAATTCTATGAAATGATGAAGCAGATGCAAATACCCTATACAGTTTTTATTGAGAATGTTCAGACATTAATCAATCGGGCAGCTCCTGCGAGTGCATCATCGACATTTGATTTTAAAAACTATCACACATTAGACGTAATTAATAAAAATCTAGATGACACAGCGAAGCAATATTCCAAATTTGTGCAAACTGTTGTGGGCGGCCAGACGTATGAGGGACGTCAAATCAAAGGCGTCAAGGTTTCCTTTAAAGCTAATAATCCTGGAGTCTTTATTGAGGGTGGTATTCACGCTAGAGAATGGATCTCGACAGCAACTGTCATGTACATCCTACATAAATTGTTGAAAAGTGACAATCCAGAGATCAGAGCTCTGGCTGAGAGCTACGATTGGTATATCTTCCCATCGTTCAATCCCGACGGATACGTGTACACACACACCAAAGTAAATTACATTTTATAATAACATAGAACATTCTTTGCTAATTATACATTAATTATACGAATATTTTTAATTTATTTTAGAACCGATTATGGAGAAAAACACGTAAACAGTATAGTTTCTTCTGTTATGGCAGCGATCCCAACAGAAACTGGGGTTACAAATGGAATAGTAAGAATTTATATTATGTTAGAAAACTGTTCCATGTAATAATAAAAAAATTAAATATTATCTAATAAAAAATTGAAATTAATCTATAGACTTTGGAAATTAACACGATGATTTTTAGTATTATTTATAAACATATATTTATATGTAATTTGATATTATCAGCTGGAGGCGCTAGCAATTCTGCATGTTCCGAAACCTACGCTGGAAGTGCACCATTCTCCGAAATTGAGACAAAGACCTTGTCCAAATATATTGATTCTATTTCCGATAAATTGTACGCTTATATCGCGTTCCATAGTTACTCGCAACTGTTGTTGATCCCATATGGTCACACAACGGCTCATCTTGATAATTATGACGACTTGGTAAGTATTATAATTTTAATTATAGAGTAGTCAAATGTAAATTATAATTCAATAATTAGTCCAAGTATAGATGTAAATCAGTCAAATTTGCCTTTTTTAAAAAATTTGTAATACTTGATTAGTT